CCCCGTCTGCCAGCTTCCCTGCTGGCCGCCTCTTTTAGCCCCACTGAACCTCTCTGCCTCCAATGCTGGGGGAATACACTGCCCCCCACGAAGTCTCCTTTAATCATGAAAGCTGCGGGGCAGAGAGAGTCGGGGATGAGCCGCGAATGCAAGGGCCGGAGAGAAGCCTGCATGGCTCGGGTTGTAGGCTGTGGCTGGCGCGGTTTGGTTTGGCTTGCATTTGCGTGCTTGCTCCTGTTTGCTCCTGTCCCCTCCTGTCCTTTTCGGCTGCATGCGTTTGTATTCTGTGGCGTCTACAGCTTCGGCAAGGTAGGTTTTCGCGTCTGGGCTGTGGCTGTGGTAACAAGGCATCCTGGTGAGCTCTCCCTCCCTCGGGTCGGTCCCGGTTTGCACTCGTTCTCCTCCACCTCCTGGCATGTGTGCTGTGCTTTGTTCAGTTCTGCGTTGCACAGGGGTTTTCCCAAGCTCCTCCCTCTTTATTCATTCATGTTTTTCCCCTTTGCAACAGTACTTCTCACAGGGCTACGCGCCGTCACTGCGTCTCATTTCAATTCCATTTTTCCGTAATGTTGTTTTGTTAATTCGAATGCCCCCCCCCCCCGCTATTCTTTCCCTGTGCCCTTCCTCAGCTAATCACATAAGAGATTCTTGATGTTTTCCTATTTTAAAGAATTGTCACCCAGGCGTCTTTTATGTCCTTAACTATTCTAAAAAGGGAAGGGAAATCCTGCTGGTGGCCAGCGGAAGTACTACTCTAAAAGAGTAAATATTATGTAATGCGCTTTTTATATATTGAGTCTAAAAATTCTTGAATCGCTAGGGTAAAGGATTCATCTGCCGTAATAGGTGACCAGTCAGCACACCAGCTTTTGTGATGATTTGTGACTGAGAGGTTGAAATCTTTAAATATTGTTGTTTTGTCTAAGACGTTGGCAACATAAGTTTGGTAATAAACTTGATTGCCAATAGAAGACCTATCCATGTCTCAGGTAGGATTTTTCACATTCTTGCTTACCTAGCAAGGCCCTGAAGAGTAATAACATTTTTAAAAAGACAAAAGTTCTGAAACAAGGGGAGAAAAAAGCAAGTTCTTCTCATATTGGGGTCAAAGAAAATAACTCCTCCCTGCAGTACAATATTGTACTATATAAATATTTCCCTTGGGAGATCCTCAGCAAATATTCATTTTTGAACCTCTCCCTGCTTTATATGATTCCCAACAATTGTTTCAGGGGAGAAAGATGGCTGTACATTGAGTTCTCTAATAATGTATTCATTCTATTGGGGTGACATATCCTAAATAGGATATAAATTTTATTGAAAACTATCTGAAACAAGCAGTGTAGGAAAAGTGGATTAGTTATTTTTTTCTTGTGCAATATAAAGGAAATGTTGTAATTACTCAGGGTGCATAATTTGTGTTTGATAAAAATCCAAAATAAGTTGTTAGCGCTTTTGTCTAAGGGTCTTAGACAAAATATCTGACTAAGATCTGGGAAAACGTTAGTAAAACAGAATTGGAATACTATATTAGATTATTCATTATATGCACATAATAAATACTTTGACAGTGGAGTTTTTAAACTATTTGGGGAGGCATCTCCTTCATGAAGGATTTGAGGGGCACCTGGTTGCAGTTCCTTAAAAAGGAATTCTGGAATTAATAGATTCTCATCTGACCCAGCAACTTTGTCACAAACTTAGTATTAGAATCTATTTTTCTAATCACATGTTTTGATGACCTAACATGGTGACAGGTAAAGCAAAACTCTACTCAGACTGGAATGAAAGTGGATTGCCCTGTTGAGATACTTCCATTAGAAATGGGCTGCAACATTAAAATACTTCAGTTCTTAATACAATTGTGGATACAGTTTTAGAGTGTTCTATATGTTGACTTCAGTAAGTCAAGATTAATGCATTGCTTTTTAAGTTGTGATTTGTGTTTAAGGAGGTGATTGTATAAAAAATTATCTTGGGTGTAAATATTAAAGAATGAGATAGTTAAACTTTTAGTCCTAAGTACATCATTTTTAAAGATTATCTGTGCTACAAACTAATGGGATATTTGCTTCTAGACTATTATCTTCTGTGTCATTAATGTTCTATGAAAATTTACAAGCATGAAGTAATGATTACTTTGCATGTAAAGGTCAGCCTGGTCTCATGTGATTACAGGCTATCCATATTGTTATAATGTAAATAGTTCATTAAACTGACGTTATATGTTTAGGCCACTACTTCTGACATTACTTAATCTAATCTTTTCCCCCCAGTATGTGGATTAATTGACCCCATTGGCATATTTATGGATCTGCTTTTGATTTGTTCTCCATTTCTGCAAAACTACCTATGACTGGATGAGAATGCCTCGAACAAAACAAATAAATCCTAGAAATTTGAGAGGTAAGAAAGAAACATTTACATAAGAACATCAATATTTCTATGAATTAAAGCAAGTTTAAGATAAAAGTGAAGAATAATGTTAAAATATACTTGCTTTCAAAGATTAATATAATGGGGGTAATTTAAAAGAAATGTTTTGTACTTGAAATTAACATAAGTTTCAATATCCATTTTCTATATTGGACACATGCACTCCAGTCTGTTTAGTGATCTGTTCTTATTTAGTTTTAAGGGGCTTGAAAGGTGACAGTTCTGAAGACAGTTATCAGCTTGGCAGACAAGTTCATGAACTATATTCTCTTTAACAGGTGATACGTTATTGCTGTGATTCAACTATATAACTTTAAAGGGTTGATATTAGAACATTAAATTCATATTGATGTCTACTACATACTATGTTGTCCTATACTTACTGAATGCAACCTGACTTAAAGCTTTTGTTGTGGACCCTGTGACATTTGAAATTGTTTTTTGTTGCTGCTTTTTTTAAAAACCATTCCAATTTCAACTGCTTTGTGTAACTTAAGTGAATTGTACCCACTCCTCATTTAGTGACTGAGTTCCATTCCAACAACTAGGTTGTTAGTGAAATGGTCGCTAAGTGAACATGTGACTCAGAGAGAGCAAAGATGTCTGGTTGCTCTCGTCTCGTTCAGATAAAGTTCTCTTGTACCGCTATGCCAGTGTTAGCTCTCACTCCAGCATGAGTTGTTGTCAGGTGCCCAAAATTTGGTCATACATGCACACATTGGTTGGAAAATGAATTTTTTATTACCATCCTATTTGTGAATGGTTGCTAACTGAGGTAGTCACTAACTGAGGAATGGGTATAAGGAATAAGCAAAAATAGAGTAGCAAACACTACACAAACAATAGGGATTGTAGAAGATTTTTTGGCTTTATATTTATGAATGCGCATGTTTGTACTCATTATGGCTGATTGACAATTGTGACTGTACAATTGCAATTGAATACCAGTATTGTCATATTTGATAGTTGTCTAGGTTTATGCATCATTCTAGGCCATGAATTCTGTCTCAGTAAGCTAAATGTGAACAAACACTATACTGGTGCATATGGCCTGTTTGTTCATGCTTCATAAGCGGGTAAATAAATGAGATGTAAAGTTTTATTTGATATCTGAATGCAGAATCATTGCAGTTATACACAAACCCAATATAGGAAGATCTCTGTAAATCAGGATTGTGATTATTTGAAGTCTTGGCTTGTTCAGACAAAATACAGTGGTATCTCGGGTCACAAACGCTTCTGTTCACGACCAATTCGGGTCACAAACAGCTCTGTTCGCAAAATTTTGCCTCCGTTTGTGAATGCCGGATCGGGTGACGAACAGGATCCGCGGCCATTTTCCCTCCCGTGACACATGGTTGTGGCTTCCTGTGGGGGGGGGGTCTCCCTTCCAGCAATAAAAGCCTCTCCCGTCCTCCTGTCCTCCACGCCCGAAGGCAC